GGTCTAGATACTACACCCTGCCCGGTGCCTGGCTTGTCACTCACAGGCGACTACCACGCTACAGGCATCCACTGTGGCAGGGCACATAGACTTACGGGGCAAATATGAGCGACGACGAGAAAGATACAGCCAAAAAGGGGTAAGTACATCTTTGAGTCTTTAAGTGACTATTTCGCCCTGGCGTGCTTCCTCTCCCGCAAGGCTCATGACACTCTTTGCACAAATGTTCAGAACAATGTGCCATAGATTATAGCTATACAGTAGTTTGACAGCTTAAGTCTTGTTTGTCGAGTCTGTAGAAAGCTGTTAGATTCCGATTTATCGATGTAAATGGTCTCCTATTGCATTGACAGACTAGATCGTCTGCTGCAGCAAATTCCGTTCTGTAGGAGTGCATTTGTTTGGTCTTTTAAATAATGTTTGTCTTCAACCGCACAAAATAGGACGAAAACTTATGAAGACCGGCTTAAAGCGGTGAGTGTTATTTCGAACCCTTTGGCGGGCAAAAAATTGACCAAAAAGCTCTACAAGCTGGTAAAAAAAGCCTCAGCCTCCAAGAGCGTGAAACGTGGCGTGAAGGAAGTGGTGAAAGGTTTGAAAAAGGGAGAGAAAGGGATATGTCTGATTGCAGGAGACATATACCCTATCGACGTCATCAGCCACTTGGCGGTACTATGCGAGGAGAAGGACACCCCCTACATATACGTGCCCTCGAAGCATGATCTAGGCAGTGCCGCGGCGGTAAAGCGGCCCACCAGTTGTGTGCTCGTCAGTGTCAAGGGAAGCGAAAAGGATCAAAAGGAGCTTTACGCGAAAATGGCGCTCGAAATTAAGGAAGCGTCGAAAGAATAAACACTGAAATTAAAATTTATGAACACAAGTTACAGCACATACATTCTCCGATAGCATGATAAAAGTCTTCAATACTGGCTCAGACATGTATGTGTAAGCTTGGTACTGACTGGAGCGCCTCTACTAGCCGCCCAAAACCTCTTACCCCAGAGTTTCTAACACAAAATGGGCACTACAAGGACAAGTTCCACCCATGCGTACTTCTTTGAGCTTTTTGGACGAGATAATCACATTTTTTCTTGGTAATAAAACAGTACGTCAAGGTGTACGAGCTTCTCCGATTTGTGATCGTTCTCCTCTTTCCTCTCCTCGCTCGCCCTCCGAGGCGGAGACGCCCGACAAATTAGTACGCGCCCCTAACAGTCGTCATGAAACTGTTCCGTCGCTGAGTTTTTTACATCATCTCCGTCTCTTATCAGATACAACCACCCTCAACATTCTTGATCGTCCCATATTCGTTGACGAGGTCCGAAGAAACTTTTTTTTTTCCCAGTTGCTCGGTTGCCCCTACCTCACCAACGCTGGATCAGCTTCCGAGAAATTCAAGAACATGATTAAAGCAGACGCCCCACGCCAAGCCCGGCTGCTGCGGGCGCTGTCTCTCTCAAGCCACCAGGAACAAGGCGGACATGGCCAAGAAGCCTACCGTTAGTGACATCAGCTTGGTCAGTTGCGTGGCGCTGGAGTCTCGGAAAGCCGAGGGTATAATTTCAATGGCGGCGACATGGATAAAGGTGCCCGCCGCAACCGCTCCCATGAGACCAACTGTCGCTGCTGTGTGGCAATAGGAGGATATCAGCACGCCGAGAGCCACACCTGCAGGCGTAGCCGCTGAGAAGAGGACGGCAGTGAGGAGGAACTCGGTCTGGCTCACCTCCGCTAGGAGCATCGTCGAGCCTAGCGTGAGCCCCGCCAAACCCTTATGGGCCAAAATGGCCAGGAAGACCCCGACTTGGGTCCCGCCCCCGTCCACTATGCTCTGCGAGGTGGCCGTGGCCAGCCCCAGCCCCTCCATGACGGAATGAAAGCCTAGCGCCGCCAGCAGGCACAGGGCGCCCGCCACGGTGTGAAGGTCCTCGTGACCGTGGGCCTCATCATGAATATGGCTGTGGCTAAGGCTGTGGCTGTGTTTGCGACTGTGACTATGACAGTGGCTGGGAGCGCTCATCCCGGGGTGCGAGCGCCGAGTGGAGGGCGACTTCGATCCAGGCGACACTCTTCCGTGGGTGCTTTCCAATGACTGTGCTTTGCCCTCGTCGTGCCCCTCAGAGCTTTGCGACGGGAGAATGGGGGCCTGTGTCTGCCTCAGATGCGCCAGAAGCCCCGTCCGCATCCCGTCGTTTTCTTGGTGGGCGGCCTTGCCGGCCTGGCTGCATGAATCCTTCTTCCCGGGCAGTTGCCGCCCAGCGTCTTCTGTTGCGTTTTTGCTTTCGTTCTCATTCATGTGATTCTCCACAATCACGCCAGCGGTATCTTTCTCACAGGCCGGCTCCGTCTCGGAGCTTGAGGGCGCTAGGCGCGGCATGACGGCGCCGTATTGATGAAGCGGAGGCAACAGATCTTGGCGCTCAGACTTCCTGATCTTGGTTTGACTGATGGAGCGAAAAAGTCCGCTGGGAGAATCTCCGGCCTGCCATTCCCACTGGGACGGGAAGCACTCGGTTCCTTTGTCCACCTGGATGTGGTCGAGGTGGTGGTGCTCCCCGGACTTGACAGGCGGTGCGAAGAGTGTTTCAATGTAAAACACCATGATAAAGGAAAGGGCACAGACAAACTCGCTGATGGGGAACCCATACAATTTCTCCTGGAGCCCGGACAGGGAGGAGACGGCGTCGTGGAGGAGGTGGACGAAGCCCGCCGAGAGCATGACTCCTGCCGCAAAGCTGTTGCACACTGCCAACACCATCTTGTTGTACGAAGCCATGACGATCGGCGCCAGAACTCCCCCCAGTCCCACCAACCATATGGCCAAAGTGTATATCAAAAGCACCCACGACATTGTGATAAGTGGGCTGAGACTTGAAAGCCGAGGCGTAGATTTCAATAGAACTTCACCAGCAGCCGCGGAGACGCGCGAGGAGGTTGTTCCGGGCCAAAGAGACTTTAATTCCTTTTCAGTACGGTCTTGAGCAATAAAACAAAGCCTAATAAATGTGGTGGAGGTTGTTTTGAGTATTTGACACACGTAGAAGGCCCGGGCAACGGGCGACCCCCGATCTTCACATGGCCCAACAATGCTCTGTGTTGTTTAAAACCTACGATGAGCGACGTGGAAAATTATTCCACCACCCACACTTATGCCATGTAGCTCATTAACACGAGTGTGCGTGCATGAAGCGAAGCGTGGAGGCTGGCCAAGGGTTACCTGATAGTATCAAGTCAAGCGTTGCGCGTCGCCGTCGGAGCGATTTTTGCATGCAGGCCCGCGGGGAGGGCAAGAACGAAGCTACGCAAATGTTGTCACAAGGTTTCGGCAAAATAAATACTTGGAGAAGATGGGCTACGCATAGTCCCGCAATAGAGATGGGGCGATAAATGGTTTTACAGTCTGCTATTCTTCACAAGGATATTTTTTGAGCGCATGCCGCCGGATTTCAGGCCGCGCGTGCGTCGTCTCGCTGCTTCTACACTTCCACCTCGCTAGCTGGAGGGACACAAAGTATTTTGAGTGAGACGCAACGACGGTGTGATGCCGGTCAACCTCGAACGACCTCTTTTCTGACGCCAACTTCTGCTTGAAGAGCTGCTTCTGGAGGTCATGGACTCACCCTTCATTCGGACATGCCCCGTGTACCCTCCCCGCCAGATGAGTCACGGAAAGAAGAAGGAAGCGTATTCAGACCGCGGGTTCGGAACAATAGCTATCCATGCCGGCCAAGAGCCAGACCCGGGGACAGGAGCTGTAGTACCTGCTATTTCGTTAGCCACGACATTTTCGCAAGTTAGCCCAGGCGTGAAGCACGGCACAGATTTGCCCAACAGCTTTGGAAAAGGCTTCGAGTATTCCCGCACAGGCAATCCAACAAGAGGCGCCTTCGAGCGGGCCATGGCTGCGGTGGAGCATGGCCAATTTGCCGTGTCATTTGCCTCGGGTTTGGCAGCAACTTCCGCCATTGTCCATTTGCTTGAGACGGGGCAGCATGTGGTCATCGTCGATGACGTGTACGGAGGCACCCAACGATACTTTCGTATGGTAGTCAAGCCCACGTACGACATCGATTTCACTTTCGTGGACTTCAACGACCCCTCAGCGCTTGACGCAGCCTTTCAGCCGGGCAGGACGAGGCTGGTATGGCTGGAGACTCCGACGAACCCTACCCTGAAGGTGTCCGATGTGGCGGCCACGGCGGCCCTGGCCAAGAAGCACGGGGCCCTTTTCGTCGCAGACAACACCTTTCTGTCCCCGTATTTCCAAAACCCCCTCGATCTGGGGGCCGACATGGTCGTGCACAGCGTCACCAAATATATCGGCGGGCATTCGGACGTGGTGGGCGGGGTCGTGGTCACCAACCTCCCGGAGGTGCACGAGAAGCTCCGATTCATCCAGAATTCTGTCGGGGCGGTCCCTTCCCCCTTCGATGCGTACATGGCCCTCCGAGGGCTCAAAACCTTGCACGTTCGCATGGAGGCCGCCGCCCGTAACGCGCTGGCCATCGCCCGGCACTTGGAGCAGCACGCGGGCGTGGCCAGGGTCCTGTACCCCGGCCTGCCCTCCCATCCCCAGTACGCGCTCGCCCAGAAGCAGCAGCACGGATCAGGGGCAATGATCACTTTCTATGTGCGGGGAGCATTACACAACGCGCGCCGTTTTTTGGAGACGCTGCAGGTGTTCATCCTGGCCGAGAGCCTGGGGGCCGTCGAGTCGCTGGCCGAGTCCCCGGCCATCATGACCCACGCTTCCGTGCCCGCCGAGGTCAGGCGCACGCTGGGAATCGACGACACGCTTGTCCGCCTGTCTGTGGGCATCGAGTCCTTGCCGGATTTGATCGAGGACTTGGACAGGGCCTTGGAGGCTGCGGGGGCGGCGACCGCCTAGGGGGGTCGGATGGGACAGAGGCAGTGCCGGGACACAGGAGAGGGAGGGGTGTTTGTGCGGCTTGTGAATGTCATCTTGCATGGAATCAAATAAAACGTTGCATGACGTGCTGTGCTTTACAGGGCTTATGCGTACTTTGCAATGTTACACGCTGAAATCACTATCGTCGTCATCGTCTGAAAAGCTCTCCTCTTCCTCCTCCTCGTCTACATCTGAGCCCTTCCTTGGCTTTGGCCGCTTAAGCGCGCGCAAGGATACCCTTTTCGGGCCCTGTTTCTTCGCATGCATCCCCGTCCTCTTGGGGGCTCCTGCTGAGGACGCACCGCCCTTTCGAGCGGCCCCCTGGCTCTTTCTCTTTGCCTGCCTTACTCCGACTCCGGTGCTACCGCGTTTGCTCACGGTCCTTTTCATCGCCTTCATGCGTTTACCGGCTCTGGCTCCCTCGCCCTCACTCCCCATGAGGCCGTAGTCCGATTCCTCCCCCCCAACAGACTCCTCCTCCTCCTCTCCCCGCCGCAGCACCTTCCCCCCCATCGCCTCGAGCTCGTCGTGATGATGCGTGAGGACGCACAAGGTATCCACCACGTCCTCTACCTTGGCCTCCTCCTCCCCCAAGCTCACGAGGAGCATGGTCGGGCACCGGCAGAGCTCCGCCAGGTACTGATGCCCCTTCAGATCGAGCACCACCCCCCTGTCCTTCTTCACGTGCACCCGTCCTACCGCCCCGCTGTCCCCGGTCAGATCTTGGGCTTTATCGCGCTCGTCCAGCTCTATTAATAGGGAACGGGATGCACCCCCCCCGCCCCGTGCCGACTTGAGCACCATCAAGGGCAAGGTCGCGCGACCGCCCCCTGCCAGGGAGCCGCGCTTTCGTTTTTTCAAGACGTCACCGCTTTTGAGCTCGCCGTTCGCCGTATCTTGAGACGCCTGCGAAGCTTGAGCCCCCCCGTCGAGGAGGGACGCTTGGGACACGGGCCCCTCGGGCTCTTCTACGTCCTCTCCCACGTGCTTCTCTGACCCCTTCGACGTACCTCCCTTCCTGTCCAGGTCGCCAGTGAATTGTTCGGCTTCTTCACACGTTGCCTTCTCAGATTTTCCATATCCTGCCATCTCCGCCAGGGCCTTCCGTTTTCCCGCCTGCCAGGCATCTATCTCCTCCTTAATGACGTCTCTGAGGTCGAACAAATCCACCGCATCCAAATGCACCTCCAACTCTTCCTGTATCACATCGAGCTGTGCGACGCACGGGCATTCACGTTTTTCGATCGTCGCTACCATGGATGTGCTAGACTTGGCGTTGCTCTTGACACCCTCATTGGCTCCGTTTGTCTGGAAAGGGGGATACAGGGCACGAAATGCTTTCCGCACGTCCACAGCACTTGGAGCTTTAGCACCCGCAGGACTGAGCTGCGACAAAAGTTTAAGTGTTTCCCGGTGTGTGTCAGAAGCTTGATATGTCACATTTGATTTTCCTGTCGACGGGGAGGGGGAATTTGATGCATTTCTGGTGGTATTCGCCGCGAGGAGAGCGGCAGTACTCGTGCCTGCGGCAGTCGCAATTGAGCCCCTTTGCGCAAAGGCTTTTCCTTCTTCTGCATCAGATATATCTAGTAGCTCAGCTAAATAAGGATCATCATCATCTTCGGCCATGGGAATATTCTGGGAAAATTGACAAGGGAAGAGATGTCCAAAAGCCCAAGGCAGAGCAACCTAATTTACATGGTCAGGAGGCAAGTGTGTTCAGTAAGAAATCCAGAGATTCATTCTCATACCGACGGATCAGCACTAGGATCTTATTTTGACGCCTAAGATGCGACTGAGACCCTGCGGCAGCCCAAAGAGGCGTGTAAGCTGGCTCCCTGGGGGTCGCCTCAGTTGAGTAGAGTCTGTTCCCCCCGCCACAGCGCTCAAAGCCTCATCCCTCGCACGCGAGACGCGCCGATGCACCCGAACCTGAGACCCGAAGAAGTGCACGCACGGCCACGCAGGATGGACGGTGGAGGAGCGTCATGACCTGTTATGATAGACTGAAGTCGTCTCATCTCGGGACAATCGAGACCTGAGTCAGCGTTTGCCAGGTCCAACAATCGTCCCCTCCCTCCTTTCCACCTGATTTCATGCGTCCTGCGTCGTATCGCGATTTCGCGCTGTCGAGCATGAGTAGTGGGCGACATCTACGCATAATGTTCTCGTCGACGCTTGTGTAGTATTAGTCAGAGAAAGCGGCGTGGATTTGGCCAGACTTATTGCAATCAAGGGCAGGCATTGATGGAAGCGCTAGCGTTTACGCCAGAGCTTCGGGCTCCAGCTCCAGACTGCTCCGACATATGACTCACCTCCATCTCCTGCACTGCTTTTCTACATAAGTACAGGATGGCGACTCCAATTGGTGGGCCACCTGTGCAAGATATCCCTCCGCCCGGCGGATATCCCAAGGTAAGTGCGAACACACGCAGAGTACCTCCGATGAAGTTACGGTGCTTGAAATATTGCATAACTTACTTCCGTCGGTACTAGGCCTCGGTGCTCCTACGAAGAGCTCTTGAATGTTTTCAGAATCGTGTAATGACTCTTCTTCCCCTCCATCGCTCCCTCCCACACCCCTTATCATTTGCTGCTGCCGGCAATAGATCTTTTACAAGACCCGGCTCGGGAATAGGGGCCCGCCGAGCTGGGCAATATGGACTGGCGCCATCTTGGTGGTGTCCTATGGTTTTGTTCAAGTAGGGCGCACGAACACGGAACGCCGCTTTTGGTCGGACCAAAAGCGGGAGCAGAAACTGGCTCTGGCCCCTTTGCTCCAAGCGGACGAGGACATGATTTGGATTGAGCGGCAAAAGAAAGCCCTGGCCGAGGAGGCGGAGATTATGAAGCACGTCCCGGGGTGGAAGGTGGGCGAAAGTGTATATAAGACGAACGTGACGTGGATCCCCCCATCGGTATCGGCGTACAAGGGGGAGTGAGCGGGCAAGGGGACAGCCTGTTTCGACGGGCTCGGTGGAGGTTCGTGGGGGCGCGCGTCGATGTCCGTGGGGACTGTGGGCCCTGTGTTGCAAGGGTGAATTAGAGAGAGTCCAGGGGGAGGAAATAGTGAAGGAGGCAAGGAGCGTGCGCACGTGGAGGTTGTGCGCCTGCTCGTGCGCGTGCTTCAGGCGGAAAGGAATGAGTAAACTGAAGCGAATTTGGCCACCTTGGGTATCCGTTCTATACAATGCTTTATCTGTTAGTATGGACAGTTCTGTTCTCTTTACACTTCCGGGGCGGATGAATGCCCGATAGATCGGAAGAGCACACGTCTGAACTCCAGTCACACAGTGATCTCGTATGCCG